AATTTGGCCAATCAATGTGAATTTAACAAAATTAGTCTTCACAATTAAAGAAGATGAAGGAATGGAGAATGAAGAGAATTCTTTTCTAGTCTGACAGGTGGAAAGACAGCTTTGGATGTCACATTATTGCTTTTATGCAGGACACAACCATGACTTTATCTTGGTCTCGTTGCTTCCTTCATCCTATTTATCATCGTATATCATGTACAGCTGAGGTTTTTTTTTGTTTTTTGTTTTTTTTGCAAAATGTCTGTCCCATGTATTCAATCTTTTACATTCTCACAGTTCTTCTCCACTGACCCAGGCATGATCCTCATTACCACATGCCTGGATCACAACAACAGCCTTAGGCAGATGTTCTGCCTCAACTTCCGAATCCGGAGCATCTCCACCTGGCAGGTCACTCCCACTCACAGTCATCCATGCTTCCCACTGCCCCCGGACAGATGCTCGTGTAGGCTCGTACCCTTCCACAACCTGACCCTGCATTACCCTGCGACTTTGAGCGCCCATTACTTCACAGCTGTAATCCTCTGGTCCCCACACACTGTCCTATTTGACCTTCCTGAAAACACAGTGCCCTTTCTCCCCTTCATTCCTGTCCCTGCCCTTTAGCGCATTTGGGATTCCCTCCCCACTCCCCAGAGTTCATCCACAGTCCCAAATCCTCCACTCCCACTGCCCTGTCTAAACTCCTAGAACATCTGTTCCCAAACTTTTTGGCTCTGGGACCCTTTTACATACTTAAAATTATTGAGGACCCCAAAGAGCTTTCATTGGGTGGATTATATCTGTCAATTTTATCATAATATAAATTAAGCTAAGGAAGTTTTTAAATATTTATTAAATCATTTTAAAAATTACATATTATTTTTAAAAAACATATTTTATGGAAAACAACTGTCTCTTTCAAAATGAAAACATAGTGACAATAGCAGTAATGTTTTCTATATTTGCAAATCTCTGTAATGTCTGACCTAATAGAAGGCAGCTGATTCTCATGCCTATTTCTCTGCATTTGATCTTAAGTGATATGTGGTTTTGGTTGAAATATATGAAGAAAAATAAGGCATTGTACTGGGTAAAAGGGAGGAGAATTTTAGTAGTCTTTTCAGATAATCGTGGACATTACTTTTGCATAGTAAACATAAAAACTGGGAAAGTGATAGTTTCTTAAAAGTTAGTTGCAATGTGAAATCTGAAACCTTATCAGTAAACTTTTTATACTCTATTACAGTAAAATCCATTGATCTATCTTGCACTTTGAATGAATTTTTACCTACTTACAGTGCATGGAGCACTGTTTGGAAAATATTGATTCGTTGAGTTATGCAGAACTTCCAAATGTTGACATATTTCATTAAAGGATACATATACTTGTATACATATACTTGTTAAATCCCGTACATACATATCACCAACAATCTCATCAGAAAAGACTTCAAGTTTTGAGAAAGTATCAAGTTCATGGTGGTGAATAGAAGTTTTCCAAAATTCTACTTTTTATTTGAAAACTAGAATTTTCTAATTGTTAACAAATATGTCAATTGCTTTCCTTGAAGTGATATGTTCACTTTGTTCATTTCCAAGAAAAGTCTGGCAAATACCCAATTCTGGATGACTATAGTTTATCCGTCAGTCATTGTGTTAAGCAGAAAAAAATGCACCACCACAAAGATATATTCACTTTCCAATGCCTGGCTCCTGTGATGTTACCTTTTATAGCATAAAATTTTATTAAGTCAAGGATCTTGAGAATAGGGGCTTATCCTGGATTACCAAGGTGGGCCCTAAATCCAATGACGTGGCCCTTGTAAAAGAGAGGGAGAGAGATTTGAGACAACCAGAAGAGCAGAACACGAAGACACACAGAAAGGAGAAGGCAGTGTGGAGAGGGAGGCAGAGACGGAAGTGGTGGTGCCACAAGCCAAGGAATGCCAAAACATGCCCGTCACCAGGGCAGCAAGGAACATCTTCTTCCCCCAATGCCTCAAGAGGGAGCATGGCCCTGCCAGCACCTTGATTTTGGACTTCTGGCCTCTAGAAGTATAAGAGAATAGATTCCTGTTGCCTTAAGGCATCAAGGCCGTGGTTACTTGTTACTGCAACCCTAGGAAGCCAACATAGGCGTTCTTCCCAGTCAAAGCTGGTGTTCCATGAAAAAGGCTGCTAGTTCAGCTGTCAACTTAGACAAGTACTTGTCTCAAGATGGTCCTTGTATTTGAACATGGGGTAATAGTGTTTTATGCACAGTTCTCATCACCCAACCATTAAAAAGTTATATACTCAAGAGTTGAGGCTTACTAAATTAATAATCTGTAATGTTTCATCAGGAACACTCTGAATGGAAGTTGGTATTTCTTTACCATAAGTGAGTGACGATAAAGAATGTCCTGGGCTGGGCACAGTGTCAGTTGAGGCTAGGAGTTCAAGACCAGCCTGAGCAAAAGCAAGACTCCCCATCTCTACTAAAAGTAGAAAAAATTAGCCCGGTGTCAAGGTGCATGTCTATAGTCCCAGCTACTCAGGAAGCCGAGCCCAAGAGTTTGAGGTTTCATGAGCTATGATGATGCCACTGTGCCGACATACCCTCATTTCTGGCCCATCACTGCAAATATCAACCATAGCAAGAAGAAAAGTAACATTTTAGTATTATAACAAAAAATTGTTTGACCTCAAGCCTCTCCTGAATGTGTCTTGGGGTCTCCAGGGCCTACAGACCACATTTCGGGGACTGGTGTAACACAAATCGTAAAATGTAAGTGGTGGGGACAAGGTAATTCAATGGCCTTGTCTTTAAATTTATATATTTTTGAACATTTCCATAGTAAAATGTTGAGGGAAAGTACACACACACACACACACACACACACACATTTGTAGGCTCACTCCACTCCATGTTGCCTAAACTGAGGGAGCAAATTTGTACCCTTGGCCTATTACATTCTGGCTCTGGGCTATTCATCCAGCCTCCTCTCTAGTCCTCTAACCACGCCACACACTTGCTGATCTGCAAACATGGAACAGCTGAGAGGCATCCAGCCACACCCTGGTCTTTCCTGCCTCTGTGCCTTTTCACATGCTATTCCCTAAGCCAGAATGCTATTCCCTCTCCCTTCACCACTCTTTGTCCTTGAGGAAAATTTTAATTTCTCCTTCAAGTTTGGGCTCCAATATTTCCCTGGGGAACCTTCCCTGCCTCCCCTCACACTGACTTTAGGGGTTCTACCCCAGAGCAGATTACAGAGCAGAGGAGCTGGGCATCTGCCCAGTGCATCAACAAACCTGAGATGCTAAAACATCAATGGAATAAATTAGACTGATGACCAGCAAACTGGTATTAACTGAGCAGCACCTAAGTGGACACATAGGTACTACAGTAATAGGGTATTAGGCACGTGGGAGGGGGGAAGGGGGCGGGTATATACATACATAATGAGTGAGGTGTGCACCATCTGCGGGATGGTCATGCTGGAGACTCAGACTTGTGGGGTATAACTTGTGGGGTATAACTCATAGGTCAACCTTAAAATCTGTACCCCCATAATATGACAAAATAAAAAAAATTAGACTGGGCCGGGCGTGGTGGCTCACGCCTGTAATCCTAGCACTTTGGGAGGCCGAGGCAGGCGGATTGCTCAAGGTCAGAAGTTCGAAACCAGCCTGAGCGAGACCCCGTCTCTACCAAAAAAAAAAAATAGAAATAAATTAATTGACCAACTAAAAACATATATACATAGACCACGATTGACTTTGGGAAGAAGAAAAAAAAAATAAAAAAATAAAAAAATAAAAAAAAAACATATATACAAAAATTAGCCGGGCATGGTGGCGCATGCCTGTAGTCCCAGCTACTCGGGAGGCTGAGGCAGTAGGATCGCTGAGCCCCGGAGATTGAGGTTGCTGTGAGCCAGGCTGACGCCACGGCACTCACTCTAGCCTGGGCAACAAAGTGAGACTCTGTCTCAAAAAAAAAAAAAAAAAATTAGACTGATGATGGTAGTTATTAATAACTCAAGTTGCCATAGTCAACTCTTTATATAACAGGTGGCATGTAAATTAATAATGGTTGCTGCAGTCAACAGTGTTCCAAAATGGCATCATTCTACTCCCTCACTGGACTATTTCCCATAGGTGTTTTTACCCTAGATGTGACAGGTTGCTCTAAACAACCACAACCACCGACCACTTCTGAGACAGTTGCCTGAAGTCATAGTTAGAACTTGCAAAAACTCTTAAACCAAACAATGCATGGTAGGACAGTATTTACTAGGAATGCATGAGTCCTACTACTGTATAAATCTTAAACTCTTTAATATTCCTCCCAAAAAGTTGTCTGGTTTCAAAAATTGCAATTCCAAAAAGGTTAAGCTGCTCTGGTATATTCAGTGTCTGTCATAAATCCCTGATTTTGAACAAGAAGAAAAAGGTAAACAAGTTGTCTTAATAGAGAATCCTTTTCTCTACATCAAAACTGTTTGTATGTTGAACATATATTTAAGGAATATGTGTTGGAAGAATGTCAAATTATCTGCCTGCCTAGGAAACCCATGTGCTTTTGGCCAGACCAAACTTCTCGCCTTCTCTTACTTTGCTCATTCCCTCAACATAGCATGATGTCATTGTAACTTAATTGTTTGGATTTCCAGCTCCACATTTGACTACAAGCTCCTCGTAGTCAAGGACTGTCTGTTTATCTTCCTAATCCAGGGCTCAGCCCAGTGCCTGGCACCTAGGACATGCCAATAACTGTTTGTTAATTAAGTGAATACATGATGGTAAGCAAGGCTCCTGTACATTTAAAAATTTAGGCATCAGTTATGTGAATTCCACATGTAACACCTGCATTGCTGAGAGGAGCAAGGGCTCCCTAGGAGACAGCCTAGCTCCTTTGGTGATTCACTTAATCAATCAAGTGTTTATTGAACGACAAACACCAGCAACTCACCAGCCTCAGACCTGAATGCTGGGGCATGCAGAACAAAACAAGGTCCCTGCCCTTCTGGAGTGAATAATGCAAACTCTGCAGACACCCATGAAACAATTCGAGAAAGATTAAACATGTGGAGCTCCATAAAACAAAAGCTGGCAGATGCCCTCCAGGGGAGCCAGAATTTGAATGCAGGATGCTGAAGAAACATTTATTACACAACAATTGAATGCAGACAATGGAGTTTGGGGACCAGAGGCCTGGATTTCTAAGTATAACTCATAGGTCATGGAGTATGTGATGACAAAAAAAAAAAAGTTAAGAGTGGAAAGAATTCCAAAAGGCATCTATAAATGTGCAATGTATCCAAATGTCCATTCATGGATGGAAAAGCAAATTCTTGAATCCTTTCTGAATAGTCCACGGGCCAATCAGTTGTTTTTCAGGTCCTAAGGTAAATCGAGCACTCACCACACCCAGAAGAGATTCCCAATAATACCCCCATTTATTGAGTCACTTTATCCCCCGTGCAGGACGGCTTTTTCAGACAGCACCCTAGAGGAGAGTGAGCACACACCTGGGGAGGAGTTTCCGTCTCTCTCTTCCCCTCATCCTGAAAGATAAAATTCACGCTCCTTGAGGATCATCTATTCCATATAAATCTGCCCCATGTCTTTCTCTCTTAAACTATGTCAAAAATCAAAATATTTAAGTCTACAAGAATCTTAAACATTAAGATGTGAGAGGATTTATAAATCAGTAAGAAAAAAAGCAAAACAGCCCCCATGGATGAAGCCATAATCCAGGCCATTCCCAAGCCATGCAAATAGGCGAAAGGGCATCTAAAGAAAGTTCAACCTGGCCGGGCGCGGTGGCTCACGCCTGTAATCCTAGCACTCTGGGAGGCCGAGGTGGGTGGATTGCTCGAGGTCAGGAGTTCGAAACCAGCCTGAGCAAGAGCGAGACCCCGTCTCTACTATAAATAGAAAGAAATTAATTGGCCAATTAATATATATAGAAAAAATTAGCCGGGCATGGTGGCGCATGCCTGTAGTCCCAGCTACTCGGGAGGCTGAGGCAGGAGGATTGCTTGAGCCCAGGAGTTTGAGGTTGCTGTGAGCTAGGCTGATGCCATAGCACTCACTCTAGCCTGGGCAACAAAGCGAGACTGTCTCAAAAAAAAAGAAAAAGAAAAGAAAGTTCAACCTCATTAGTATTCAAACAAACGGCAATTATTTTTCCTTTAAAGCAGCAGGAAAATATTTAAGCATTGAAGACCTGGTTTGGACAATAGTGCATTGAAACAGGCCCTCTCATGTGTTGCTTACAGGTGCAAACTGCAATAATGTCTCTAGAGAGAAATTTGTCAGTTTGTATCCAGAGCCTTGAAAACGTTCATATTTTCTGACCTAACAACTCCATTTGTAAAAATTTCTCATGAGAACACATAAGATGAGCACTTGAGATTTTTCACTGCTACACTACATAAGAAAGAAAAAAAAAAAGTGTGAAACAAATAAATGCCTAACAAGATGGGGAATGATTAAATAAAATTTAGAATATGCATAATAAGGAAAAATCAGGATAGTCATTTAAAATCAGGTTTTCAAAAGAGGATTCCTGACATAAGAAAATACTTGCATCAGTTGGGATAGGTTAGGTCATGTGGCAGTAATAACTGCAAAACCTCAGTAGTTTCACACAACAAAAATGTTTCTCTTGCTTACGTTACACCTCGAAATGACATTCAACAGGCGGGGATGGGAGGAGGCTCCCCCCACACAATCAGCAAACACAAGACGACCCTCTCGGCTGCCACAGCCAGAACAGACAGCATGCGAGAGTCCTACACAGGCAATTATTGTCCAGCCCAGAAGGGACACGCCGCTTTGGCTGACAGCTCATTGGCCACGGCTAGTCTCACAGCTTCTCCTACCTGCAAGACAGGTGAAAAAAAATGTAGCCCTACTATGCACGCAGGAGGAAAACTGAGTCAGATATAAGGGAGGGCTGAAGTTTCTACTCCTCTACTTATGGTAGAATAGTGAGTACTAAGGGTAGAAGACAAAATTGCATATTCAAAGCAACTCAGTTTTAGAAAAGAATACATGCTACTTTCACGTTTGTATGTATGCATGAAGGAACTCCACCCTAATGGTACAGAGACCTGGGTTGTAAAATTATGGATGGCTCTTATTTTCTTCTTTAAACATTTTGGAATTTTCTAAATTTTCTACAAAGAACACATTAACTTCTATAATAAAGGGGAAACACGTTCTATGTTTTAGTATTAATCATGCTATCCTGTGTTTTCTTGCCTTTGCAAAACAAATTTTTCCCCTCCTTAGTTCAGCAAATTCCAAGACAATCTGCTCTCAGCACCACCACCAAGAAGTTTAGTGGAATAAAGATATTTTGTAGTAAATGGCTTATTGGGAGCTGGAGGAAATAAATGATCCTGACTGCAGCAAATCTTTCTACCAAAAGTTAACTGGGTCTCTTGGTGCGGACTCAGCTCCATCCAAAAAATGGGACTAATCTTACTTGCTCTTCTGCTACCCCTAAGAGGCTAAATGAGAACCAACCCATAAGTGTTCCTTTAAAGACATTTGCATCTGGGGAGAAAATGTGCTTATTAGACACAAACCATTGTGATACTTCCCTCAGAAGTGGTAATTAAACTGTGCCACTCTACATATGAGATTAGATAATATCTAGCAGCCGTTTAGCCAAAAGATGTCCTCAAGTCCCTTGATTATCCCCTAAAGAAATATAAACCCTCCCAAATAGTTCAGACTTAGAGGTGAAAAGCTCAGAATATTCATTCTCAAGTGAACGGATTGTATTCTTGGTTACCAAGTTCACTCTCGATCTCGGGCTCTAAGTCTTCCTTGGCTAAAGTGGGTTCCAGAAGCTTTTACCCTTCTCTGAATCCTCATTATTCGCATAGTCTGTAGCAGACAACCAAACCTAAATTATTGAAAGCCTTGCTTGTTTCAAGTACCAATTTCCAGGGCCAGGGTTTATTTCCCTAGGAAGGTAGGAAGCCTCCCGACTCCTCTTTTTGTGCTGCCTTTGCAATCCAGCTCAGCACCGCTTGATAAATATTTACAGATTTGACCTGAACCCTTTAGGAGAAAAGTAAGTTACAGGTGTGAGCCTGGTTCCTTACTCAAAACACAGCCGATGCAATGCCGCTATGCTCATGCTGGCCATGCAAGGGCTGTGGGCTGACAGGCAAAACCCAACTAAAAAGACACACAGATTAGAAATGGGAGCAGAGCAAGGTTTGACCCCTCAGGGGCCAAATTGAGATTATATATTTAAAAAATTCACAGGCCCTATCAATTCAAGGAGAAAAGATATACTTCTACGATGTTGTCAGTTCATCTATCATCTTTCAGTGGATGATGAAAAGAAAATGCGACTGTAGGAAATCCCAGTGCATGGGGACAGATGGAATGCCTGTGTTGGGATCTTTTTTTATTTTGTATTATGCCCCGCTAGCCAAAGGTCTCCACTGATGTGAGGAGAAATTAATTAGTGGCAGCATCACCATCGCAGCGTCGTTTAACTAATTGCTGATATGACAAGGAAAGAGAAGAAAAATGAAGAAGGGGGGGTGGTTTATCACGAAACAGATGAAGTTTTAATTAATGGTGTCTTGCGATGTCGCTTCTTCTGGAACAAAGTAAGAATGAACTCTTGGCCCGTAACTGATCCAAGGCCACGTTCGCTGGACAACCACAGCACTGGCTCCAGCCATAGGGTCCCGGACTGGAAGGGGAACAGTGGAGAACACCACTAAGGTGACAGGGACATCCTGCAAGCCTCATAAGGGACCAGGGACGCAGCGCCCCGGGGAGCGGGGGGCGGGGGTGGGGTCTCATGGAGTGACAGTGTGCAGTTTTATTGGTGCATTCACCTTGGCCTCGGGTTGTGCAAAATCATGCATTTTCGACACAAAAACGACAACTCTACATTGAAAATGATTACCAACCCCCTTTGACTTCTTAGCTGTAAGTACAAGATTGAATCATACCGTTTGGCTCTGTGATTTATGGATATCATAAATCACATTGTGTTTTTAGTCAAGTGGTGTCTGTCACAGTGCTGAGACTGGCGTCTTAGCGAGAGATAAAAACAAGACTGTTTATAAAGATATTTGGGAGTAAGCGGCTTACTGGGAGCTGGAGGAAATGGTCCTGGCTGTAGCAAATCTTCCAACATTCCTCTTTGAAAGGTTGGGGTGGGGGAGGGAGCTGCTGCTGGTCCCATCTCCTCTCCCACCAACGCTGGCACCATCCTTCACTCCTCCCTCCATAGGGACACAGATAGTGCCACTTGTAAAATCAGCGTCACTCTGGTTGTGCCAGCAGGAATTAGGACTTTTCAAAGGCAGGAGGGAGGGTGGGCAAACGGAGGCTGATTCACACGGCCCGTGCCCTCCTGGCGCTGTACAGGTCTGGGAAGATCGTGGGGAAGAAATCCCAAGTTCACTAAATAAGTTAATGGAGTAACACCTATTTTGGACAGTTTTATAGCTTCACACGGACTATTATTCAACACTCCAGGCCTCTCCCATCCCATGTTGCCTCCTTTGTTGCTAATCTACATGATACCACCATCTACGTGGCCTTAATCATCTATATTACACCAATAACTCACTTCTGCATCTCTGTGACTGCTGGCTTCATCCTAATGTTTAATAATCCTGGTACAGTTTGCTTACTGTATATGTTTTCTGGGGCTCCCATAATAAAATACCACCGACTGCAGGGGGTTGGGGGTGGGGATGTTAAGCAGAAATTTATTCTCTCACCGTCCTGGAGGCTGGAAGTCCAAGACCAAGGTGTCGGCAGGGTTGTTTCTCCTGGGGGTTCTCTCCTTGGCTTGCAGGTGGCCGTCTTCTCCCTGTGTCCTCATATGGTTGTCCCTCTGTGAGTGTCTGTGTCCTCCTCATCTCCTCCTCGTATAAGCACATCAGTCAGATTGGATTAGGGCCCACAGGTTTGACCTCATTTCCCCTTAATTTCCTCTTTAAAGACCCCATCTCCAAATACTACATTCTGAGCTACCAGGGGTTGCGGCTTCACCCTGTGAATTTTGCGGGGACATCATTCAGCCCACAGCACTTGTTTTCCCCGTCATCAGCCCCACATTTACATGTGTGAGTACATGCGCGTACCCACACACTCACGCACTTTACATGTTTCTCTAACTCGCTCAGAAATTCCAATTCTAGCTACTGTACTGGGAGCCAGAGAGCAAAGAACTCAGTTCCTTGTGGCTCAAAACAGTCTCTCTGTGGTAAACCCAACATCTTCCAGTAAATGCTCAGTTTTGCAGCTGTCTCCTCTTTCTCAAGGCCTCAGCCCACCCCTGTCTCCAGGGGTGGAGGGAAGCACAGGCAACCTCCCGGCAGCACGGACATCCTCGGGTCACGCTCTCCCTGGTCGCCGAGTCTCCTGTCTGCATCTGGGCCTTGGCCTCTGTCCTCCCCACTGTTGTTGCTGAAGCGCCCAAGGCCAGTGTGACTCAGCGTCTCCACTCTTGGCGGGGCCACCACCGGTCATTGCTCCAGGGACCTCAGCCTTCCCGCCCTGCTGGTGCCCGACCTCAGCTCTCCCCAGGCCACCCGCGGTCAGGCTGCAGCTCCCACCGACCCCGACTCCAGCAGTCGCCTTCCAGCCCTCTGCTCCAGGAAGGCTCGGCCCTTCCCTTGGTGACGCCCCCCCCCCAGGTGGCTCACCAAGCCCACCCCTCAGCTGCCGTCCCGTTCACCTCTCCACCGAATCCCAGCGTGGCAGCAGCGTGGAAGCACAGCGCGGGGCTCCCAGGACTGGCACGCCACGTCCCCTCCTCTGCCCTGTGGGGCGGCCCAGCTCAGCCCCGGGCACCATGGGCAGTGATCTCTCCTTTCAATTCTGAAAGTGGAGCAGGAACCCAGCCCTCCGTGTCGGCTTCCCTCAGCTGACCTGAGATGTGTTCGCCACCTACCACCGCCTCACCCCACACATCCGCCTTCACCAAGACGTTGGATCTCTGAGGAAGAAACTAGAACACGCCTCTTCCCTCTCTCTCTCTCTCTCTCTCTCTCTCTCTCTCTCTCGTGCACGCTCACACATACACTCATACGTGATCGCTATCACATATACATTCTCCCCTTCTCCCCCCTTCCTCCCTCAACTGCAATTACCTTATACCAAGTTCTCTCTTCTCCACATCATGCTTCAAAATAATAACACTGTATGCTCAGACCCCCGAGGTCTAATCTTCGCAGGCAGATGAAGCTTTTTAGAATTTGGGAAAGACTTTTTTCCTCAGCAAAGCGTGCATTTGGAGACTCTCTCGCTTTGCACATAACAACCCTAACATGAAACCCAAAGCCAAGCCAAGGCTCGTCATTCTGGGTGGTCTTCCCGCTCCCTCCCCGTGAAGGGATGGGTTCGGTGCCAGGACAACTTGGCATCAAGGTGTGCAAATGCACTGTATGATTCCCATTGCAACTTTGAAACAAAAATTCTAGTGCATGCCCCCAAATAGGTCAATTTGTAAAGCACACCTAATTTATCTAGTTAGCATTCTTTTCCTTTAACAGGCAATAACGGAGGCAATGGAGAAAATCACGGGATTAATTCATTAGAATTTACTGGTAGGAGCTTTTCTCTGGTTCCTAACCTGAAAACTTCAGCATCCGAAGAGCTAAGGCAACAACAATAACAGCAGCTGTCTTCCCAGCACACGAGGGTGCCCATCCTTACTGCTTATGTATATATCTCATTTGAAATCCAAAGGATATGAAAACTAGCAGAAGAAAACCCTCAGTAAACTTGCAATGAAGAGGGTTTATGGTTCCGTGATAACCACGTTAAAACAGAAAACCTGAATTAGAGGGACATCAAATGGCAACTAGAGTCAGACTGCCTGGCTTCACATCCCACCTCTCCCTCTTCCTTTGTAACTCCAACCAAGTTGCTAAATCTCTGTTTCATCGTCTATAAATTGGGGTTTATAAAAGGACCCACAGATGTTGCTGGGAAGCTTACGAGAGTTAATCCGTGTGAAGTGCGAGGCCTGTGCTTGGCACGTAGCAGACTCTCAGCAAATGTTAGCTGTTATTATTACTATCAGGCTGTGGGAGAGTGGTCATTATGAATAATATTAATAGCTAAGATTTATTAAGTGCTTATAATATGCCAGGCAATGTTATAATTTCCTTACATGTGTAACAGTGGCTAAAACTTATTATTATAAAAATATTTGTAAAGGCTTTTTTCCATCCCTTCTTATGTCTGCCCACCTCCATTTCACTGGTATAATTCTGACTTGGTCAACTTGGCATTTTCCCATATTCTCAGCTCACAGGCCTTAACTCACGGTTTGGGGTAAAAAATACTATAAGCCTGAAAGGGAAGGAGATTTATATTTGCAGAGGAGAGACTCCTGGCCGTAAAAAAAAAAAAAAAAAAAAAAAAAAAAATATATATATATATATATATATATATATATATATAGCTCCAAGAAAGCATTTTGGAAAAGACGTTTTTTGTTGGGATGTGAGAATGGACTAAAGAGAGTTTTTCAAATACAGCTGTGAACAAGTTGAAGGCCAAGAAGGATTTTTTTAAGTTTTGCCATTTCTTATGCATATACTTCCCTCTGGAATTTTCTTCAGAAACGACAATAAGCACTTGAATTGTGTTTGACTAAGTTTCTCTGTGAACTCTTCCTTTTCTTCAGAAGTCTCTAAACTAAGTCAGGGTCACATGGGGACCTGGGTCTATGCAGGTTATATTAATGCATGCATTCTTTCATTTTATCCTCACAGCAGTCCTGGGAGTTGGGTACTATCGTTATCCCTCATTTGAAGAGAATACTGAAGCTTAATGAGGTAACTTGTCCACCGCCACACAGAAAGTTCCAGAGCCTGAAAGTGGATCTAAGTCATTTGACCTGAGAGCCTGCATTCTGTGCTGTATTGATCAATTATCCCTGTAAGCCGGCCTCCTGAGAATTCATGCTTCCAGAATTATCCTCTGAGATTTTTGCCTATGGAAACTAATGCCAACTATCCTCCCAGAACAACAACAAAAAAAAGTCTCCTGTCAATAAAAATGAAAGCCAGGCTGGGCAAGGTGGTGCGCTCCTGGGGTTCCAGCTACTCAGGAGTCTGAGGCAGGAAGATCCCTGAGCCCAGGAGTTGGTGGCTGCAGCCCACTGTGATTGTACCTGTGAACAGCCACCACACTCTAGCCTAAGCAACACAGCAAGCCCTGGCTCTAAAAATAAATAACTAACAATAAAAGTCAATATACATATATTTGTGTGTATGTGTGTATATACCTTTCATTTTAATTAAAACATTTCATTTTAATTAAACATTGTTTAAAATTCAAAACCTACAAATAGTATATATCAAAGTTTCCCACCTAACCTTGTCCCTTCAACCATCTGTTTCTCCTTCCCAGAGGCAAACAATGTTATCAACTTCCATTGTGTATGTTCAGATAAAAATATCACAAGCAAATGCATTTTCTCTCCCTTCTTTTTTAAATGTTAGCACACCGTGCTCAATGTTGTGCACTTTGAGTGTTTCCATTTATCAATATCTTGGAAATCATTCCGTGAGGGTATATAAGGAATGCCCTCCTTTTTTATTTTGCAGCTAAAATTAAGCCATTAAGACGCACCAGCACTAATTTAACAAATTTTCTAACTGTTGACCAATTAGAATATTTCTTAATGTGTGCTTTTGTAAATGATGTGAAAATAAACACCTTGTATGTAAAATCATTTTGCACACGCTAGTATACCCATAATAAAAAATCCTAGAATCAGAAAGGCTGTGTGCATATGTATTTTTAAATAAATGCTCCCAAATTGCCCTACATAGATTATTTTTAACAAAGTGCACTCCTATTACCAAAGTATGAGGTTGCTTATTTTTTTCCCACATTCTCTGCAACACAGTGGATTATTAAACTTTTTGGTCTTAGCCCATCTGATGGATGAAAATGGAAAATCCATTTCTTCTCTTGCCTCAGGGTATGTGAGTTTAAACTATAACTTGCTGCCCACAAGCCCCTTTATTCATTCATTTAAATAGTATAAGGCAATTGCTATATACTGTCCTAGGTACCCTTTTGCCCTATAAAGAGAAAACTCTCTCCAAAGTGTTGTGTGACTTAAGATTCCTTCAGATGTCTCGGATGTGAGTAACTCCTCATATCATCATTGCGGAATAATAGAATAATTATTAGGGTTTTAGAAAAAACAAATAATAATATGCCTGTCCCAATTCTCTCCCTAACCCCCACCCAGCTTCAAGTTGGAACCAATTAAGCGACTCAGAGTCGGACAGATGGAGATCAAAATATCTGCTTTATTTCTGATAAAGCCGATTGGAGGCTGAAGCTTAGACCTAGAAGCAGATGGGTTTTCTAATATCTGCCCCCTGCCACAAAAGAAAACCATGATTAAACCCACACACTCAGTCCAAGGGAAGCCTAGGCAAGCGCAGGCATCTCCAATATGACGGCCACTTACTGTCGGGCCTCGGAGGAGGGTCTGTTTCCTGAGACGGCCGCACTCAAAGGGAACCAGCAGAAGGGCCACCCACCCAGGCAGCCACTGGGGAGGGCTGCGTGGACCAGATAGAGACAAAAGGCCGGAGGTGTCCCTCCCCTTTAGTTTTCTTTCCAGAGGCAAGGAGGGTCTCAACCCACCCTCTATGCAAATGTAAGGAGAGGGGAATAAGAATACTAATTGTTTAATCTTGAGGAATAAAGTTACAAAGAAAATGGGATTTTTCTGGAAGAAAAAAGAAGTTTACATGTCACAAGAATGAAAAATGTATT